GTTTTGGCATGCTCTGCCTTTTCTTTGAGGTTGTTTAAATTATTTAAGATTGCTGTGAGGCACTTTTTTTCCTCAAGTGGATCTCTGTGAATTCTATTTTAGCAGTAAAATTAAAATAATAATTGTCTAATTTACTTACAAAAACAAAAATCCTAATACATCATTATTCTTTGCACACAAAACAAGGTACCTGGAAGATGTGAAACCATCGTCTCAGACTCATTAAAATGTGAATCACTTTGTCTCAGACTCATAAAAATGTGAATCACTTCCTTATGTGATCTGTAGTGCACTGTGAAGGTGCTTGACTGCCTTTTGTATAAAATAAATAAATAAATAGAAACTAATAGCAAACCAAAATCATTTACACCTCTGTAATACATTTCAGTCTGCACTTATGCTGTGATGCACTTTGTGGTAATTGACAGTAAAAGCTTCAGTATACAGGCTCCCCTGCTGTATGAATTACAGTTTTTTGCTGTTTGTGGTAGTTTGTTCATACTCCTGAATGTTGTCTCCTGAGATTTCAAAGAAACCCTGTTGTTTTCTTAACACAGTGAGGTTTTTTAATAGTTGGTTCCTGATATGAAAACTTAACAAAAAAATGTGGTGGTCGTTGGTTGAGAATTGACTGATGTATTTGTAGCATTTTCCAGTGAATGAGTTTGATGTTATAAACAAGATTTAGTTGTTTTTCTGGGTTATTCTCCTGGATTAAAAATCACATTTCAAATAGGATTGGCTTTTTGAAAATGTTATCCTCACATGCAGTTACTAACATGATTTGTATTATCATAAACTGCCTCCATATGTAGCTTGTGATTCTGTACCAGTTTTACCTGGTTCATTTTATGGGTATCATGATGAATTACAGTCGTTTATTTTTTGGGGTTTAGATTTAGGGGTTTTTTTTTCTTTTTTCTTTTAAATGGTCTAAGTTAAGACCAAAGTCTCAAATCAGCCTAAAGTGGAATAAAGATTTTGTTTTGGCTTCAGAGTTCTCTATTTGCCCTGAAACGGGTGTTTTATTCTTTAATTCAGCACAAAGTGTGAAAAATATTTTTTTTCAGTTTTATCCCAGTTGGTTTCTTTTCTAAATTTTGTTTGATTCTTTGGAAAAAAGCTAGAAGTTGCATTCTTCAGACAATTCTAATTCACAATTCAACATATACCCAGTGGCCCGACCCAGGCCTGACCCAAATACGTGGTGTTAAGAGACTGGAGAGAGCTATTTTATGGGTATCATGATGAATTACAGTCGTTTATTTTTGGGGGTTTAGATTTAGGGTTTTTTTTTTCTTTTTTTCTTTTAAATGTCTTAAATCAGCCTGAAGTAGAACAAAGATTTTGTTTTGGCTTACGAGTTTTCTATTTGCCCTGAAATGGGTGTTTTATTCTTTAATTCAACACAAAGTGTGAAAAATATTTTTTCAGTTTTATCACAGTTGATTTCTTTTATAAATTTTGTTTTATTTTTTGGAAAAAAGATAGAAGTTGCATTCTTCAGACAATTCTAGTTCACAATTCAACATACACCCAGTGGCCTGACCCAGACCTGACCCAAATACGTGGTGTTAAGAGACTGGAGAGAGCTGGTGCTGCTGCACCTCCTGCCTCACTGCCCATGGAGCATCTTCTCCAAGCCTAGCATCGCTCTTCTGTTTCATTCTGCATGGTTGAGAGCGGAGATTGAAATAAATTGTCACCTAATCAATGAAAAGATTAAAAAATTTCAAAAATAATAAATACATCATGAGAGAGAGAGAGAAGCCATGAATGATAATCCATAACCTGGAAGACTCCTACTTTGGATTCACGTTTATATTTTGGTTAGCAGTTTCTTCCTCTGACAACTTTGTAGTCTTTGCTCACAAGGCTAGAAGCTATTTCTTCCTCGGACGACATTGTAGTCTTTGCTCACAAGGCTAGAAGCTGTTCCTGGTGTATCCAGTGGTTTGTACATTCATTGTCAGGACAAATGCCATCCTCACCATGGGTTACTCAGTTATGCTTCTGGGACTTCACACCCCTGCTAATGGGAAACCCACCCTTTGGTAGCCCTGAGAGCCTGGGGAGGCAAATGAAACCAGGTGCAAGTAATTCCGATCCAAATAACTCCATTAGCAGAACTTAGAAGAGTTTATAAGCTAGTCACTTAGCTGCCAAGTAAACTGCAAAGAAAAGGTGAAAATTGACTCTGACTGGAAGATGGGAAACTGCTTTCCCTTTACTTGCGTTCTTGTTGTGTACAGCATGAATGCCCAGTGTTTGTTGCCAGGCATGTGAGCTGTTGACTGAAGCAAAGAAGAATGAGGACTCTATTAGAGAAAGCAAAGTACTTAATTGTTATTTTCATAGCTATTTCTTTTCTAAGCAAATCTTCATATTCTAATATTTCTATGAATTTTCACTTTTATTTCTTACATAAATGAGAGAACCAGGTCAGCTCAGTTCCCACATCTAATGGCTTGTTGACAAGGAAAAAATTAATCAGAATAGCTACTGTGGAATAAATTACTCCAAAATAGCTTCCCCATGGACGCTGTTATTCTGAAATAAGTGTGCCTTTTTTCTGATTAGTAATTATTCTGCCAGACCGATGTTTGTCAAGTTTCCCAGGTAGACAGCAGTCAGCTTGTAGAAATTAGTACCTTCCAGAAAGTACCTTGACTCCTTGAACAAGACTTGTTAGTGCCGTAACCATTCCACTGGTAGACACCAGCCCTGAAGGGCTGCACCTAACCACATCAACTGCCTTCTGCAGGGATCTTCACTGGTATATAAAGCAAAAGCAAGAGATTTCAATTTCTTCATCACTTTTTCAATTCTAGCAGAATTCTTTCATATTTGCAGTCTTGGAGAATCTGCTAGTAATGTGGTGTTTTTCAGTTCACTTGTGCAGAATATAGAGAGTTTAATTCCTTGGACAAAAAAGAGGAAACAATAAGAGGAGATATATTTTCCTTCCAGATCTAAGCCTGCTCTTCAGGTTTCAACCCAAAAAGCTCATTTGTTTTTTCATCGGAACACAATGAATACCCCCCTGGTTCAGACCGTTAGCTCCTCCATCCGCTTCCCGTGTGGTTTTGTTTAGACTGGAGGCCCCTTACTGTTTCAGCTTCCTGGTTTCCTAGCAGATTTCAATAGCTTTCTAGGTTTTCCTGAATATAAAGTGACTGCTACGCTCAAAGTCAATAAGCTCAACGTTGTTCTTTTCCCACCGCTGGCAAATGGCTGTTATCTCCAGGACTGAGGAAAGAACTTCAAAGCATGCACTGTCCTATAGCTATGCCATCTTTCCTGGATCCAAGGGTCTTAGATTATTGTTGCTAGATATCTACAGTTGCCCTTGGCTCATTATCACAAAAACTAGCCTGCTCTATCTGATTTCCCCACTGCAGTAGGATAGATTTGTTAATAATTTTTGCTTAGCCAAGCAATTACCTTGCTCAAGGTCAGGCGAAGATTTTTAGATTCCACAAAAGCCCATTTCATTACAATTGTTTGCTCTGTAGAAGGGCTTTTGCTTTCTTTTTGAAGTGAATATTTTATGCTGTTATTTACTGAGCATTCACACGGTGCAGTGTGCTCTATCGAGAAAAGCGCAGAGTTGGCTGAGGGTTGATCTCACACCCATTAAAGTCAATGACAAAACTACAGCAGCTTCCCTGATAACGCGGTTTGCCCCGAGGAGGTACGGTTTTATGGGCACCAAAGCATTGGTAAGAACACAGCATGAAAAGTCAAAGCACGAAGTGCAAATATCTGACAGTATGTTGATCCTATAGCATTCCAGTTTTAACACAAGGAAAATCCATACAGTGATATGATGAGTCCACATTTATCCAGACCGACCTCGTTAAAAATACAGAGAGATGTCTTTGTTGGAGGATAAAATGCCTTTATCTCGCTTTATATGCATTAGTGTGCTTGTCAATCCAGGCAAGTTAGCAACTGCTAAGTCATAAAATGGATATTTTAAAAAGATAGTTGGACGTTTTACTGTATCTTGTTAAATCTGTTTCTGGTTGAGTATGTAAGTTGGGCCATTTGGACATCTAAGCTGCTAATAGAAGCAAAGAAATGCCAATAGCCCAATTTTAAGTTTTATTTAGGGGCTTAATTTACATGCATTTGAGTGCTTCACTTTTCTTTGTAATTTTTGGACATTTAAGTAGGTGAATTTCACCCACAAATGTTGCAAGTTTGTCTGTGAAAAAAATGTCAATTTTTGAAAAAAAATCCATTATTTCTTCTCTTTTTCTTACTTGAAAATGGAGGAGGAATAGGTTTATTTTCACTTTCCAAATTTGCTTTCCTGGTGCAAACACCCCTGGAGAAGGCTGTATCTGTCAGGTCACTGGGACAGAGCCTGTATCAAGGGTGTATTTGTGTATCACCAGCTACAGAACGAGCGTAGTCATGATTCTGCTCTTTTTGGACCATTCCAGTATTGCAACCAGTAAATGAAGAGTAAACATCCTACAGCACTAAAAAAACTATTGTGGGGCTTAAAATAGAAGCCAGACAACTGTAACGAGACCCTTTTATATTACTGTAACATTTCAGAGTTCATTATTGCAGACTGGTCAGCAAATGTATATTCTTCACAGGTGTGAACAGCCAGTAGTGACAATAAAGGACTATTAGAGCCATCGGCTGCACTGGGTGGATCATGCACCCGTTGGACCAACAAGTGTTGTGTAGTGATTTTCTTCTTCTGCCTGTTCTGCAGTGAAGACAGTCCCTCTCTTCCCTATTCCCTTAGTTTGCAGGTTCTTTGCTCATTGTCGTGTGGGGATTTTAATTTTAACAGTGTTAATGACTAGAGAGAAATACCCCTCCTGGACTGAGCGTGTACGTTAATGCTCTATTGAATTTGAATGTGTCGTAATCAGCATGCCTTCCAATTGATTGCGTACCTCCTCTCCAGCAGTAAGCACGGTGGTTTGTTCTCAGAATCACTCCATTTCCTGAACTTTCCGTTCTCTCCGTTTTAGATGGCTTGACAGACTGCGTAGACCCCGACTGTTGTCAGCAAAGCAATTGTTACGCAAGTCCTCTCTGCCAGGGTTCCCCTGATCCCCTTGACCTTATCCAGCACAGCCAACCGCCTTTCTCTCAGCATCCTCCAAGGCTCTTCTATGATCGAATCCGATTCCTTATTGGGAAGGAAAGCACTCATGTAATCCCAGGAGATGTCTCATTTGAGAGCAGGTGAGTTTTCTTTTAGACAAAACACTTTTCTGAATCTTGAGAACTGCAATGAAATGATTTAACCAGGAAAAAACAGTGATACCTGGATAGCTGAGAATTCTTCACGGGTGATCAAAAAAATACTTAAAAGGATAGCAAACGTTTAAGTCCCAACAGCTGACGGTCTCGTTTATCAGATTCTCGTTGCTACCTATCTAGTTCATTAAAATGTCACAGCAACAAACTCTACTACTCTTATTAACAAGACTGTGACTGTTGTGGAAGGTAGTCTCGTACTTATAAAATCAGTGGGGGGAAGTCCAGCCCTTCGTGCTGTAGATATATATAATGGCGGGAAGCAGAAGGACAAGTTGGATTTGTATGCGCTGTATTAAGTCACCTTTCTGCCCAATAGAATTTGATTGCTATTTGCAGTGTAATAAATTTAACACGTGTCACTTGCATAAAATCCAGCTACCTAATTAACTAACTTCTTTGGTGTTACTACGTGTTGGTAGACCAGTGTGGAGTTTACCATTTTGTGCTGCGGGTGGCTCTCAACCTGTCATGCAAAGAGCATAGTCATCTCTGAATGTTTGTGAGATTGGCTTGCCCTTTAACGGGAAAAGACTGCAGGAGGAAAGGGGCACTTGCTTGCTCAGAAAACCTGGCAACACGTATTTTCTTGAACATTTGAAATATAGGGGCATGTAAGTTTTTATGCTGTAGTTCACCTGGGAAACTATAACTTACATGCTGACAAAGAGATCTGTAAATCTTCTACATCACCTAACCATTACCCTGTCAACTAGGCCTATACATTAGATAAACCATGTTCCAGTAATAAGGGCATAAGAATTTTTTTATTTTCACAGTACAGTACATAGCACTTAGGTTACAACCTGAACTTCATTCCATAGCTGTGTACAAATTCAGTGCACTTTCTCTTTGCAACTTATTAATTTTTAATATAGTCAATATGTAAACAGTGTCTTTATTGATCTGAAATACCTAAACATTTAATCACTATTAATAATGTAGCAGGATGTTATAAATATGGAGAATAATAGGGCATGAAATGAACTCCATGAAAAGCACCCACCTGGCGATGGCAGGTCTCTCGCTGATGGAACCATGCCACTGCACCTGCTGCAAAAGTCCTTGGCAGGCTGTACGCAGTTTAAATCAAAAGTCACCAGTGGAAGATTTTCCTCATCAAAATGGCTCGCAGTGAGGTGTTTTCAGAGAAGAGGTGAGCACTCAAGTTGCCTTGTACAGCGTTCTGTGACACTGCAAATGTTAGCAACCAGATTGCACATAATCCCATCAACATGCTTTTATAGATATAAGGAACTGATCTTCTAAAGCTATCATTGATGGGATTTAACTTGGATTTAAAAGCTTTTTCTGTGTCTAATATTTTGTTTCTTTACCCTGATATCTGCCATACCTTTGAAGAATGAAGAACAGCGAAGGCTTGTATGTGAGCAGCAGCCCACCCTCACCATGGTTTGATACTTTATACCCCTAAGCAATGCGCCTTGTACTTGCCATTGGTGCATTGTCCACACCCCAGATATCATTTCATAGAATCACAGAATGGTTTGGGTTGGAAGGCACCTTAAATATCATCTAGTTCCAACCCCCCTGCCATGGGCAGGGACACCTCCCACTAGCCCAGGTTGCTCAAAGCCTCATCCAGCCTGGCCTTGAACCCCTCCAGGGATGGGGCATCCACAGCTTCTCTGGGCAACCTGGGCCACTGCCTCACCACCCGCACAGGAAAAAACTTCCTCCTAATGTCTAATCTAAATCTCCCCTCTTTCAGCTTAAAACCATTCCCCCTCGTCCTGTCACCATACTCCCTGATAAAGAGTTCATCCCCATCTCTGCTGTGGGCCCACTGTAAAGAAATTTCTAGTTAGTTTGGTGAGAAGATCGTTGGGATTCAGATGAGACTGTGTCTTTGGAACCAGGGCAGTGCCTGGGGTCTTGCACTGCGCCATGTCTCCTGGGTTTTGTCAACAGTAATCTGCAGTGTGCTGGGCACCCCGAGGAGTTCATCAGTCCACACTTTGCTTGATCCTCAAGTCTTCCAGGCTGTTGAAAAATTGCTCATCCATAAGTCAAATATTATTAAAAACTAACAGAGTTTTCCTCAAGGATGACAGATCTCAGAAGGAGGCAACAGCTTAGCTCTGCTGCCTCCGTTCAGAAATCTTCCTCTGACATTGTCAATCTGACTGTCATCTAGTGTCTGTTCTTCACTGGGAATTAAGATTACTTTAGAAAGACAACTGTTACTACAGTAAAAAAAATGAGAAATCTGTGGTCCTGCCTATCTGGTACAGACCAAAGAAAGATTGGGGGTTTTTAATCTCCTTTTGGCTATTGCCAAAAAGGTTGTGTCCAGGCAGGTGATGTTAAGCCATGGCTGCCTGCAATACCACTTACTTTGTAGCACGGACGGTTCAACAAGAAATGTTGGAAGGATTGGGTGAAATAGTGGCATTCATTTATTTCAGAGCACTGGTGTCCATTCCCACTGGTGGTCAAATTTTGCAAAGCCCTATCTGGCTTTTTTTTCCTCTTATTTGCAAGAAATCTCTGTGACCATTACAAAAGGAGGAAACATCTATCCAGTGGTTTCAGTCTTCTGATTGAAATTACATTGTGCAGTGTTTTTACTGCACCATAGGTCAGTGGAAGTCCAATATGGGTGATGTTTGCTTGAATCTCAGTATAGGTAAAGCCAAAGTGATGTTGAATAGATTTGAGAAAGCTATCAAAAAATGGTGAAGATTACCTCTGTCCTTCAGACTGAAAACGTTTTGTCTCTGACATTTCCTGGCATTTTCCACATAATCTGAAATAATAAAATTAGTGTTCTGACAACTGAGGGGTCATCTATCCTTTTGCATTTGCATCTTAAACTTTAGGTTAGATCTAATTTTTTAACATTTGGCTTCTTCAACGCAATGAGGGTGTTGTTACGTTGAGCTATGGCTAAATACGACACCAAAATTAATGTTAAGGAGCTAAATGTTTTCAAAACATATTTTACTTTTTATTATGTGAAAGCTATGCCATTTGTACTGGGTTTTTACAAACTTAAACTGTGACATACTGAAAGGCAGATTAGACACATTCTGAATAAATGGAAATGAACTTGCTTACATCAGGAATGGGTTTGACCTGCTGCATGTAGCAGGGTGTAGCAGATTAAAAATGTTTTTATCAAGTTCTGTTCTCAGGAAGGTTTTGAGCTTGTTTCTTTGCTGGATATTTTTGATGCGTGATGCTGGCAAGCTAGTTGAATCGCTGCAAATTGCCTACAAAAAGGGTCCAGTGTATGGTACTGAATTAATTGCCCTTCAAAGGCTGCTTACAGCAACACTGTCGGCAGGAAAACATGAATGCCTTCCTAGCCTTTAGCTTAATTTCTCTGACTGCAGATTTTGATCCGAAATGTAATACAGTAAATGACATCTTCTGGTAATGTGACACTTGCGAATTCAAAAGCTGCTTGACAGAGTTGCACACCTGAGCCTAATGTCTCAGCCTGAGGTGCTCGGAGAATGTTGGCAACTTAACACACACACAAAAAAAGCAAAAAAAAAATAGCAGATAAGTAGTAGTAGAGCACGGCAGAAAGGTAGTGGAATAATGAGATGCTTTACAAGTAGTGAAAGAATGTTTCTAGAATTTAAAACTTCTATTTATATTTTAAATTAGAGATGTCAAACAAACTGCCTGACAGCAGAGAGCTGAGACCCACAGAGCTGAGATCCTCAGCTACACGTGGAATGACCCATGAAGCATTGACAGAAATCCTACTTCTTTCAGGCCACCTGCAACCCATGGGAATCTCTGCTTTCTCTCGAAAAGCCAACTGCTCCCTCTGGAGTTGCAGATTCAGTACAGCTTGCCAGGGGACTAGAAACATTTTTAATGCATTTCAAAACACTAAGACAGCTTATCAGGGACGTGTTCCTTCCCAGCTCCTCCAAATTAGAAAAGGCATTTCTGCACTTACTTCCAAGTTACAACAACTTGGCCAGCCTTAGTCCAAGATTATGCAATCACTGCAAGTAGGTGATGGTTGGACAGGTACTATGAGTTGTTATCCCCCACGAGAAGGAAAAGCAGGCCAGTCACAAGTGTGTAGAATAAATCTTAGAGACTGAGAATAGAAGAGGGACATACAGCACATGGAGGAGGCGTAATGATCTTTAGAGGTTTCTCTGTTAAAGTTAAGGAGTGAGTGGTAGCAAGGTCCACAGCTCATCTGGAAAGAGGGCGAACGTCGAAGCAAAGAAGCGTGAAGATGCAGTTGAGTATGAAGTGGCATCACTGCAGGGAACATGCTCTAAAAGGTCTGGTAAGGAAAGGATGAAGTGAGGTCTCTGCAAGCAGCAGAGCTGCAGGGGACCTGCGTGCCAGCGTGCCTCCGGGCGTGGTGGTCGGATCTGTGCGATGTCAGGGTGTTGGGAAAGGAGGGAGAACCTGAAGCAAACTGGGACCCCACCCCCAGCCTTTGAGATTAGTGCTGGTCGTAAAATAACTGAAAAATGGTTTCATATCTGCAGTAAATGCAAAAATTAAAACTAATTCTGATTAAGCGCTTAGAGATTTAGTAGGTGCTGGTAATTCAAGAAGAGGCCAGATAGTAGAAGACTCTTCAACTTAAGAGTAGGTAGTAAAAAGACAGTAAATAGTGAGGACAAATGTAGCAACACAGAGGCAGGCTTAGAACATTTAAAAAGTAAATGATTGCAAAGACAGTTTGATACAGATAAATGTAGAATAATGGGGTATATGAGGCTTTATCACATACTGTAAATGTGTGTGGTTTGTAAAATATGACAAATAAAAAAGGAGCAAGAAAGTTGAGAGATAAGTCTCTTAATATTATTTATGAATAATGAGAAGTAAAGTGAGTGAGTAGTGGAAAGAAAGACTAGTAAGAAATATTGAAGACTTTGATGAGTTGTTATCACACATATCTGTGTGCTTGATAAAATATGAGGACAGAGTAGAGACAGAAGACAGGTCTGTGTGGAATGAACAAACAGGAGGACGAGAATAATGTACTGAAGAATGAGGACTCTTAGGGTCTCTCTGTCTCGCACCAATGTGTGTTGTAAGTATATGGAGTGCACTACTAACGGGATTAGAAAAGGAAAGGCAGGTCTGTTGATGTTAGAAATATGAGAAAACAATAGAAATCGGTATTTTCTGCTGCAACAAATCAAAGAGTAATTGAACCTAGCTGTTCTGTTGAGTGAGTCTTGTGAGTCTGTTGAGACACACAGGAGCTTGATTGCCTTCAGTGGAACAGCAGGTTTTTGTCCACAAATAGGGCCACAGCCAGTTTAGTTAATGTAGAAAAAAAAAAAAAAAAAAAAAGGTGGTAAATCAGAACTGTGTTTTGCATAGTAGCGGTAATGCAGCCTCTCCCATTCCTTTGGGATTTATCAGAATCTCTGCTGAAAATCAGCATCTTTCTATGTCCTGGGAGCGTGGAATTCATATCAGCAACTGTGGTGCATGGCATGCTCATAAAGGGGTTAATTTTTACCAGTTGCATCTTCTCAGGTCATAGTCAGCCGGGTTTGATGAAATCATGGTGATAAATCAGTGTCCTGTCAAGTGGCTTTGGAGAATGGAATCTAATGAAACAACTCAGAATTTTCAGAAATTTATGGTCTCCAATTTGTGGGTATGATTTCATTGGATCATGATCAATTAATCTCTCAAGTGATATTTTTTAAATTCATGTATAGACTTCTAAATAACTTCATCTGAGGTGCTATTAAGTTTTTCCTTTAGCTTATTCACTGTGCAAAGGTATGACTGAGGATCTACCTGTTTTCAAAGGTCTGTTGAGTTCTACCATGAACTTTCAAATTGAGAGAGAGAAACATAACAATGTTTCATGCTTATTGTATATATTGACTAATTAATGCCAGTTACCTTTATAAGTATTCTATTGTTTTTGACCCAAATGTCTTAACATTATCAAAAGATTTCTGCATACACTGTTCACTTTGTTATGTAAAACCACAGTTCCAGGAAATATGTGCAACTGTGTGATTAGATTCCAAGATTTAGATCTGTTCAGCCAGTGGAGGTATGCTAATGTAGCATACCTGACAGCATGGGCCAAAATACTGACGGGTGTTTCGGTGGAATGTAGCTGTGTAAATCCTTAGAAAATCCCACTGGGTCCTAATCTGCACCGCGACGGTATTTTAAATCTTATTTCTCATCCTTCATGAGAATTGTCTTCTTTTCCTTTCAGTTTTCAAACACATAAAAGGCTAAAGCTAAGAAAAAGAGAGTAATTTCTCCATCATTTCTGTGGCTAGGGTGAAAGTAATGATCTTAAAGGGCAGCAGTGGAGATTCAAATTAGACAGTAGGAAAAACTTGCCATGAGTAAGGCACTCATACAGAAGCGTTGGAATGGGTTACTTGGTGAGGTTATGGAGTTAGACAAGCATCTGTCTGCAGTACTGTAGGTGTAGTTGATCTTACCTGAGGCAAAAGAACGGACAAGGTAGAATCTTGTATTTCCTTTCAGCTCTCATTTTCTATGATTCTGTGATCCTGTTAGCATCCGATTAGAGCCACTTAGCAATGAGTTCACTTTCCTGTCCGTTGACTTTGATGCGTTCTGCTGTGCTGCCATGTTCCAACCTCTTCACTGGAAGGGGACGATTTTTATACTGGAAAGTAGGTAAAAGTCCCACACAACCCAGAGGGAATTTAAAAGGGCCTAACATGTGATGGAAGATTGAGAAAAAATGTATGTTACACTTGATTAGGCACTCTCTGAATTTAAGTGTATAACTTTCTGAAGTTCAGTGAAGACCATGTGTCTCACTGCTGCCTTATCGCATTAGTTCAGCTTTTTTCTAACAGACAGTGATGCCCTATTCTTAGCAGCAGAGAATGAGGTTTCATTCTCCCCTTTCACAAATCATCACCCCCTAGAGCTACAGCGAGCTAAATCACACTATCAGTGAAACCTCTGCAGCGCTGTTCAATGGCCGAACAAATGGTATCCTGAAATACAGCCGGAAATGGAAATTCTCGATACACCAGCGATTCATGGGAGAGTCTGTGTGTCTTCTTCAGGAGATAATGGTTTTTCAAATCAATCTTTTGGACTTGTTTGAATTTTCGTTCAAAATCAACAGTCACAATGATACCAGAGTAGTTCTGTCTGTCTGGGACAGAAGTATAGCACAGTTTCCTTAAATCAGTGCCTTTCTCACCCTCTTGACCTGTCTAACATGTTGCCTTCTACGTTTTCTGTTACAGACGGGCATGTGTGATTCGAGGCCAGGTGGTAGCAATAGATGGAACACCTTTGGTTGGAGTGAACGTCAGTTTTCTGCACCACAATGAGTATGGGTACACCATCAGTCGACAAGATGGAAGGTCAGACTTTCACGTATGGTCTCGCACTGGTTTAGATTTGCATTGTTAGGGCCATCTACCACCTTCTATTCATGTGCAAAATGTTCATAGATGTCACAGTTCAGTGTCCATTGAGGACAGCATCTGGCCCTGTGCTCTGGGAGCACATTTAGTTGGAGCTCTCTCTGGTAAAGGGACCAAAGAAGAAAGAGGAGAAAACACCTGAGCAGCAACAAGATTACAGTGGCATTCAAACACCTGGAGTCAAGATGTGACAGTACTGCTGTAACAGCCCCTTCTTGACATTTACATATTTTACCTAGTCAGGTTTTTCCCTCTCTTCCCTATTTTTTTTCTGTTGTAAACTGTGAATCTTTCAAGTATTTTATTGAGGTGTCAAGTTAACTTCTTTAGGTGATCACCTGAGCTACACAAGTGAAGATAGACTCTTTGCGGAGCCAGACTGGTTAAATTGCTGTTCCACAGCCAGTCCTGAACAATTCTGGCTTCCCTCTCTTCCCCAGCCTTGCAGGGCTGAGCTCAGTTCTCAAAGAGGGATGGAGTTCCTCTGTATTCTATATTGGACTCCAGGGTTGGCCATCCATTTGCAATAGGGTCGTGATTTGCTCCTGAACTCCAGTTAAGCAGCTAAGGGCAGTTGAAGACACCACCTTCCTTGGCTGTGTTGCGAATTACAAGAAATCAGAAGCTATCTTCCAAGAGGGAAAAAAACCACAACTGGTTTTTTTTGTTGTTTGGCTTTGTCAATTTGTAAAAGTAAGGAGCATGCATATTTATTTTTCCTTAGTTTATTGACTTTCAAGTCGCACTGCTGAAAGTTAGTAAATATCATTTCCTCTTTAAACTAGCCTGAATAAAGTTGTTGCATTAAAATATGCTACCTGTATTTTGCTGTGAATGTAATTGCTGTCACTTGGGAAATGTGATGAGATATGTATAATTAAGTCTGACTTCTTATCACAGTTTGTTACCATCAAAAGCCTCCGTAATAGATGCATTCAATAATACAGAGGGTGAAGTATCTATTTACATATTACCTTATGTTGCCTGACTGTGGATGTCAGAAACTCGGAAAATTGAAGCTCTCTGTGTCATGCCTTCTATGTCCCACTGTTTTGCAGCCCAGATATGTCAAAGGTTCTTCACGGTAGCTCCCAGAGGATCACCTGCCTTATGCAAAAGAGCTGATTCAGTTCTCAGTGTAATTAATCAGCATCTTTTCCAAAAAAATTTTATATCCTGCACAGAGGGGTCTCCTGCTCAGTGGACTCAACCTTTTCCTCCTACCACTTTTAGAAGAAGGGAACAGGACATGTTAATAGAAAAAAGGCATAACAGGCTTTAAGACTTCATATTCTCCATGCTGTACCTGCGTAGATTATGAGTGGCATCCCTTTTCTGGGCTAGGAATTTCTTTTTATATAAACCCACGTAACTGGGTCCACACTTGTTACCTTGCTATTGGTGCCTACAGGGACAAAGTGCTGAGACGTAAAGCTTCTTTGTGAATACCCAAGTGATGGCGGGAAGGTGTACTTGAATGATTTCACGTGGTAAAAAAAGGGCTGTAATGAGCAATATCAAGTTTTTATTTGTGGTACATTGAGAGTTGTGGTAATATGAGGGTAAACCAAAAAGAAACACAGCATTTTGTTTTCTGTTTTCCAGTTTTGACCTTGTGGCTGTTGGAGGCATCTCTGTCACTCTGGTTTTTGACAGATCTCCTTTCATATCTGAAAAAAGGACACTTTGGTTGCCCTGGAATAGATTTATCATCGTAGACAAAGTTGTAATGCAAAGAACAGCATCAGACACACCGTCTTGTGACATCAGTGGTTTTATCAGCCCAAATCCAATTGTACTCCCTTCACCCTTGACAGCGTTTGGCGGGTCCTGTCCCGAAAGAGGAACTGTTATTCCAGAGCTACAGGTAATGAAAAGACTGTCAAATTAACAATTTTAGAAGATTATACCAAATAGTGAGCAATTAACTGCTGTTATGTTATTCCCTTGTTAGAGTGACACCAATGCTTATCTCTTCAGTACTGTTTCACGAGATGCTTTTATCTTTTCTTCTTTATTTATTTTTTGTTAATATTTTAAGATGCTTTATTTCTTACCTCAGAGTAGAAGAAAGTGTGGAGCCCTAACATGAGTTATTGTTGAAATCCTGATTTGTTTATAGTGATGCACAAAACCATTCTTAGGTTACAGATAAACAGTACAACTTTCCCATACATCAATGTGAGACATGACCCAAGATGCTTTGAAGACTCCAAGGGATGTTTCATCCATTCACATTTTTTAGTTCTTTATGGTGGCACCTCCAGCTATATTTTAGCTTCTTGGTTTTTATTACTTTCTTTCCGAGGTAGGGCAATTTTACCATGTTCTTTAGGACTATTTTTATTTAAATATCCTTTTTTTTGACATTTCCTTAAGTGTTTAGAAGCAGTTTCTAATTAACCTTGTATTTAACTGTTCTTTTATTTGGGACTTAAAACAGACTATATGAGTCGAACACCCAACAGAATACAACTACACAGGTTTCAGATCACGTTAACCCCCATAATTTTTAGTATGTTGTTTGAGCAGTTAGAGTTCAAGCAATAAGGCTCCTTTTGAGTTCTCTTTAAATTTCACTGAGCAAGTCTGGAAGATATTTTGCAGGATACCTGTAGACATGAATATTTCCAGCTTTTTCTCTTTTTCTCATAGAAGTGTTGATAATGATTAAAAGCCTTTATTCTACACGTAAGAGACCTCTGACTGAACATCTCCATAACTATTAAAGACATCATGCTTTAGCCCGTCCATGGCCATACTGATGCTTCACAGAACGTACTAAGTGAAACTAATGAACGTAAATTAAGAATAACTGTTGCACACCAGTAAGAAAAAACTGGGTCACGTTATTCCACATGAGATATTCAAACAGTGAGGTACCCAAAGATGCAGTCTGCTCAGAGATAACTGCCCCCAGTCCTTTTTTTTTGTTATTGGAGGGTCTTTAGAGCATTAAGTTTCATTGTACTGTACTGGGAAATGAGCAAAAGGTAACCCAGAATGATAAGAGAAGGAGATATATTAGCATGTATTAATGTATGAATATTTCTTCCTGCTTTTCTATTAAAAAATGAGAAGAGATGTCAGATGTATGACAGAGGGGCAGCTGCGATGTCAGAAAAAAAGGGGAACACAGCAAATCAGGAACAGTAAAGGGAGCAGGATTTCCCTGGCAACACTACATTTCATATGTCGAAACGACAATGCTGGCAGGCCTCCGGCTGTACTGCAGCAATCTTATGACAGCGATAGTGTTGCAATGTGTAAATAAAATTGTTCTGAAAGTGAAGTAATCTCTTTTTAAACAAGAAGAATTGAAAAACTGGGGAATATAAACAAAACAGTTTGTGTTTTTCCAAGCTGGATGAATTTAACATTGTGACAGCTTGGCTCATTATTACTGAAAGACACTAAAATCATTGCCCTCATTAAGCACAGCCCAGTTTTCCGTGGCTTTTGAGTGACTGCGGTGGCATCCTCCAGGAAGCCTCTCTCCTCTCGCCTGCTCTTCCTCACAACCTGTCCCCGAAGAGCTCCCTTCTCTCAGGAGATCACAAGAGCTTTTTGTAGCTCCAAGGCCCACATCATTCAAAAGGTCAAGGCTCAATTTCTCTTTTCCCTTCACAAGCTTGCAGTCCCTCTAGTTGCTGAGGGTTTATCTCCGTTGCAGCCAGGAACTGATGCTACCCCGCAGCGGCCATATCCAAGCCGGCTTTAATCCAAGTGATTCAGCCAGCGGCAGCAGCGGCATGGGGTTTGAACTCTGTTGCACACCCTGGGGACTCACCTGTTAGCTGGATGACTCTGAGGCCCAGCCTGTTTCATCTTCACTGCCGCAGTTAGCTTGTTGGGTTCCTTACGCTGCACCCACGTAACCCGTGCCCCTTCTCGCTGGAGCTCAGCCTTACCAAGCGCTTCTGCACAGGAGATGGGTTAGCTGGAGGGGTTGTTTTTTTCCTATGCTCTCCCCAAGTTGGAGTTATTACCCCTCCAAAGCAGGATAGTATCTTCAAATCATAATACATCATCAAATCATATGTAATACTTCAAGTGTGTGCGTATTTAATTAAAAAAAAAAAGTTTTCAATTGTATTCTGGTTAAGAACAATTATTAAGTAAACCAAATAATAAAGCCAAGGTGAAGCTGTAGAGCTCGTATGTATGAGTACATCAACAGAGATCGTATTTGCTCCTCAGTAGATAAGAGTAAAGCATTAGAGGAAGAGGCTCTTTATCAGAAGAGACAGACCGCTGTCCGATAGGTTGACCAAGCAGTTTCCACTGTTGGACATTTTGTAGGACATTTTGTAATACAGCTGGTTACTGCATTGCTGAAATAAACACAAAGACATCAGTGTTTTAAGTGGTACTAGGTTACATCATGGTTGTGAAATGTAAAATAAGCGCCTGCTGTTACAATTTTTCATTTTTCTTGGCTAGAGATATAATGATGTGTCTTTTTTCCAAGGTGGTCCAAGAGGAAATCCCAATTCCTTCGAGTTTTGTGAAGCTGAGTTATCTCAGCAGTCGAACACCAGGGTACAAAACTTTGCTGCGCATTATTTTGACGCACACAACCATTCCCTCTGGAATGACAAAAGTCCATCTGATAGTTGCTGTTGAAGGACGTCTGCTTCAGAAATGGTTTCCTGCTGCAGCCAATTTGGTATATACATTTGCCTGGAACAAGACAGATATATATGGACAGAAGGTTTCTGGTCTGGCTGAAGCTATGGGTATGTAGAATCACCTTGATGTAACCAGAAGCACTCGTATACATCAAGCCAGCTAAATATGGCTTATAAATTTTGTTGGTGCACTTACATTCTTTTAAATCAAATGCCTCTTTAGCTAAAGTGACTCGTATGATTTCCTAAGAACATTTATTTTCTTGTTCTTCCAATGTCATCTTTCTAATTTAATCAATTTGAAAATCCCCTTTTCCCTTGGAGAATGGTTGTGTACTAAAGGCATTATATTCAGCTGTCTTTGTTTTTGAATGTTACTTTGAATATGACCTTTGGTGTGTCATTGTTTCTGTCATTTTTTGGCCGTGACATTTAAAATGTCATTTCCACTTAGAGTTTACAAAATTCTAACTTTTAGGCATCCTTTCTTACTACATTTCATGTCCCCAACAGTTAAAACTTCTTGATTTGTTGTTTAAAGATGTTTATACAAAAATCATCATGCTTCATAGGCTTTTTTCACCAAGCAACACAAGCAGCTAGTCTGAGAATTGCTACAGAAGCTCTGTCTGTGCAAATACATTTTATTTAGCCAGCCATTTTTTTTCATTAATTTCATGATTTGGTTTTTAAAAGGCTTGCTGTTTTTTTAAATTGAACTTGAGGTTACGTTCCTTAATGCACTAATCTTATAGATACTTTCCATTAAGATTATTTACCTTACCAACAAACCTTAGTTTTGTGAATAAGCCCTATTCACTTCCTTAGCAGTTTGTTTTCCTTTTTAAGCCAGGGGACTTAGAGCAGGCTCTAAAACAAGAATAGCAAGGGCTACATGGAGCCATCCACCCTCGCAAGGAATATGCCTTATTCCATATATGAAAATACTGTTCTGAGGGGCAGCCAGAAGCTCTCTTTGGGACCTGCTGTGTTGTCCAGACAGTCTGTGAGGCAGCTGGGTGGAGAGGTGATGGGAGGAAGGATTATAGCAGTTTCCTAGTCATTTCTGCTGAGAAAATGATGCACATGTAGCCACTGGTGTCCACCAAGGGTCCTGAGACCAAAATACAGAGTATGATTTACATCACGCGATGCACATAGGAACGTAGCAGAAAACAAAGAGGGTATTGTAGGGCTGTGGTACTATAGTCTACTTCAACAGATACAACTACTGGCTGCCAGCAGAAGGGATGTCCCCACATTCTTTTCCTACCCCTGGGCCCACACTCACAGTCATTTGATCATGAAATGAGCTAGATCAGGAACAAATTCAGCTGAAAACTGAAGCAACCAGAAAATAAGTGATAAATTTTCAGCTTCATTAGTTTCCTGATCCACTATGAATGCTAGTGCAGAAGCACAGATCGTCTCGTTCCAGCCATAGCTCTCACATTGCGTTGGCCTGAAGGGATCACAGCTCCACTCTCAGTGCAAGGTGTCCTGAATCGCTGCGTCATCATCATCTCTGCATCGGATCTACCACATCTGGCTCACACCTGCAGAAGAGGGGACATCTTGCAAGGATGGTGAGGCAGTGGCCCAGGGTGCCCAGAGAAGCTGTGGATGCCCCATCCCTGGAGGGGTTCAAGGCCAGGCTGGATGAGGCTTTGGGCAACCTGGGCTAGTGGGAGGTATCCCTGCCCATGGCAGGGGGGGTGGAACCAGATGATCTTGAAGGTCCCTTCCAACCCAAACCGTTCTGTGATTCTATGATATTTGTGCAAATCCAGAAATGAAAAATAAAACTTGTGTGCCCTTTGGGACTCCCATGGGTGATCAGCCAGGACCAGGCAGGTCCCAGGTGCCGCCTGGGGCTACACGTGCCCTGTATTCAGGGTCTGTCACTGCACAGTAGCACTAACGTGTTTCAGAGAGAACAGCTGAGTATGGCTGCTCCCTCTGCACCATTGAAGAGTCTTCTGATGATCATGAAGTCCAGTACATACCTGGACTTGAAAACAATTTAAATCAAATATATAACATCTTATGAAATGATACTGTAGTTAGATTCCCAAATTAGACATAAATGGGCTTAACATGTTTAAATATGAATAAAGCTTATGCAATAGTGCTGGATAACAACTTTTAAATTATTTAATTGGTGCTTAATTTTTTCTTTTACTTGAAGTTTAATTTAATTATGCTTCTTGCAAAATAAAAGCAAAAGTCTTTATATTTTAAGTGCATTGTTAGCATGCTTTGTGAGATTCCAATAAAGCTTTATTGAATTTGACATACTGTAGTACTCAGAGACCTTTATATGCACCCATTATATGAATTTTTGTCAAAATAATTTCCTCTGCCAGTATATTACCAATAATTAATAATGCATTCTGTTCGGTTTAGTTTTAATTTTAATTAAATTGCAGCAGGTTGAAGTCCTGGAACTCAGGAATATAACCATCTGTCTTTGGTTTTATAAATATTATAAACATCTTTATTTTTCTTCAGGGTTATTGACAGCCATGATCACATAACCAGTTATAGAAAAGACGACTTTCTGAACATATTTCCAGACACAAGTGGTTCTGTTTAAATGTGTTGGAGAAATGTGAGACAACTTTCTGAACATATTTCCAGACACAAATGGTTCTGTTTAAATGTGTTGGAGAAATGTTTGGTGGTGTTTGTGAAATCCCCAAGTCCCTAACAAGAGGCCACTTTCTGAGAGTAAAAGCTGAGTTGATGAAGTAACATTCTTTGTTCTGAATAAGAAAACATCCTTTGGATGGTGACATAGAAAACCTTGGTGGCAAAGTCTATGTATGCTTGTAATTTAACACAGGAAAAGGATTTCAGTAGAAATGTCAGTAAATGCTCCTGTGATGCTCAGCCTTACTCCTGCGAGCACTTGCCTCCCACACAGCAGCATGAAGCGGTGTGCAAGGAGTAACCCTGCTGGGTCTGAGTAGAAACCAGCTCTCAAGCAGAATAGTCTTAGATCTCTGTTTATTACTCGTTACTTTGGTTGAGTTCATTATACTTGTTGTTCAAAGTAGTAAGAATGCTGATAGGTACAAATATTTCAGAAGAGGTTGAAGTAGAGGTCCCTGGTTTAGTGGTGTCTTTTATTTCTTACCTGTATTTTGGCAACACCCCTTAAACTGTGATATGCTGGCTCTGCTAACAAATTATTGATCGTTCTTCTAAATAATTGTATGAAAAGAATAGATTTTTGGTACAGATTATTTCAGTAAATCTTTTTAAATCCATTTTGAGACTGTAAACTGTATTTGCTGGCAGTGTCCAAAAACATAGTCACTGCAGCTCTCCTTCATGCAGTGAAATCTCAGTGACCTCAAAAAAAAGGCTAGAAATTAATTTGACCAGAAAATAACACCCCACAATGAAGGTAAACTGACTGAGATTGTAATTTCGCTTCCAAAATAATGTTTTGCAAAACCCACCAGTAACAAAATACTTATTTTTCAAGTGACGCTGCAGTCACTTGGTTGCCTTTACAATTGTTATGCCTTGCCTTGATTTCTTTGCATGCAAAACAACTGATAGGAAATTTTCATGGATGGTACATCAGTACCTCCAGTTGGATGTTGCAGGAGACCCTGCTTACAGAGATATTCCTTTTTGAAGCAGAGACTTCTTTCACAACTATGTGCAAGTATACTTAGAGACACAGGTGTAGACATGCATGAAGCGAGCATATGTCCACACACCTCTCTCACGGATGAGAAGGGACAAAAAGGCAGCTACGTGCAGTAACTGTGAGAGCAGGGAACAGCAAACTTTTTAAGAAAGGGGATGATAACCTCTAGAGGATAGTTGGCAGCTCAGAGACAGCAGCTATAGGCAGGGAATAGCAGAGGCTTTACAGTGTTAGCTACAGTCCTGGAAAATGTGCCACTGTGGATCCATTGGCACAGATTCTCAGATGGTGTAAATGGTTATACCTCCCTCAGCCCAGATATTGGCACAGTACCTTACAGCAGCTGGGGAGCTGTCCTGGGGGGCTGGAGTGGTTCACTGAGCAAGGCTGAGCGACGTTACTCTTTTCAAGTAGATCCGTCTGACCCAGGGTTGAACATGTGAAGTGCACGAATGGAGTAAAGATGTTAACGTGTAGGTGGCAAAGTGTGAGGTTGCTTCATAGGAAAAATCTGCCCTCTCTTCTCTCTGCATTAACACCTAGAAAATAGTGTGTTCGCTTACTGAACCTTGATGGCTCATCCCAGCTCAGGATGCGGCCGTTGGGCAAGAAGCTCCATGCCCACAGTTGGGAACTCAGCCTGGGGAGTTACCCAGGAAGGTTGCTGATGTTAGTTATCAGAGCTCCTGTAACAGAAAATTTGGACAGAGTGGCTGCTGGACCCTCCGACTGGAACCTATAATGTCTGAAACATCCAATATTTACTGTACTTAAGGAGATGTGATTTTCACAAGTCAGAGTTGAGCTGCAAAAACAGGTTTTTTCTGCTAAAATGATGAAGCACCTCTAAGTGAAGTTGCTCTGAGGAACAGCTTTCGCTTTGCCATAAAACATTTGTCTTACAAACACAAAAGTGCTCCCTGCTATAGCTGGTCAAAATATTTTGATTGCATCCAGTAATGGAATCTAGATGGTATTAAAACTATTTATGGTTCAGGTAAAATGTACCTAAAGCTGCTACATAGACAAAGTGAGAAGAAAATATTGAAAGTGTCAGAAAACTGTGGTTTTACTTTTTTTTTTAAATTAAAGTATTTTTAAGACACTTTTATTCTGGAAAAGCTGAACTACCTCAATATTTCCTAGATCAAATTTTAGGATTTGGTGTCAAAATAACATTCTTCCTTTATGGAAGAGTTGCACTGAAACCCAAAAAGGTTAACTTGAGGAGATAAATAACTTTAAAAAAAAATGTATATTAGAGATAAATTTTAAGAGGTTTTTTTGGTTTACTGAAGTACTAAAGGGAACAGGTTTTGGTAAGTTTGAGTGCTCCCAAAACCCACCACCCTTAGGGAAATGCAAGATTTTCAGCACGTAGTTTGACCAGCTGTAGAGGCAAGCCATGTGTTATGCAAGCCTGTTAAGAAAAATGTTTAATTCTAGAAATTTTCATCTTGGCAACCCATTTCCACCTAACTACATTTTTTACAAATAAAACAAACTGTTTTTAATTTGTTTTATAACATGGATTTTTTTTTTCCGTTTAAGCTGTTATCCAGGTAAATAGCAGAAATGCAATAAACAATCAAGTCAGGAGTCATCAGAGGAGATTTAAGAAATCCATAACTGATACAACAGAAAATTTTCTGCTTTGAAACAGTAGTAACTGTAGCTGTAACAACATACTAATCTCTTAAAACCCTTTTTCAAAAAAATAATATTCAACAATAGGAATCAGGCAGAGGCAAATTAGTGGCATCATTACTTGACAGATTAATATCAAAACCTGGAATGAAAAATTACCTCATAGTTCACAGAGGGAAAGGTAGACTGATAGATCTTTAATTATTTGTTTGCAGTGTCGGTGGGATATGAATATGAAACATGTCCTGATTTTATTCTGTGGGAGAAGAGAACAGTAATCCTTCAAGGCTTTGAAATGGATGCTTCAAATCTGGGAGGCTGGTCTATAAACAAACACCACGTATTAAATCCACAAAGTGGTAAGTCCTTCCTATATTAACTGGCCACGCAGAAGAAGAATACAAATTTTAGAGGAATTAATTGTTCAGATTTTCAGCATTACACTTCCTAACGTGTAATCCTCCTTGTTTGAATGCGCACCCTCATTTATTGAGAACTGAACTGTAAATGCCACCTGAAAGGATACTTTCAGTGTTCTGGCTCCCAGCTGTTAAACACTAATATCACTGACTCTTGGATTGCTAACACATTTTGGTCATTTGGGTGGAAAAGGGGCATTTTTAGGTTCATTCTCACGCTGTTGGTAGAGAAGTCCCACCTTTTAGGTCAGTTTAGAGTGTGTTACATCCTCAGTGAAGTGTCTACGCCCCTAATTCATCCCATGACTAACATGGGTTACCAGCATCACAGCCCCGGGGAGACAAACCTACAGGAAAACAGCCTGAGAGGCAGCGCTTCCAAACCACGCTGTCAGCCCAGCACGCAGAAGCTTTTGTGGTTGCCCACTCTGCAGAGAAGCACAGTAAGTTACTCTTCAAGACAAGCAATCCAGCACCTTTTGAAGCATTAGGAAAAAAAAAAAAAAACCACAAAACAGAACTGTAAACGCTTTTGGTGTCATAACATTAACCCTGCACAGAGATTCTTCAGGCAAGGGGACTTGCATTTGTTTTCTGATTGCTTTTGTCTTATTCCTGGGTTTTTTTCTTTTCCTCCCTTAATAGCTATAATCAGGAATTAGTGGAATTAAATTATTAAAACAATACTTCTAGATAAATTATGGTAGTTAGAAAAATACGGTTTTGACAATAGACAGGTATCTCACTGTCTGGGGGAAGAGAAACTTGGGGTCAGATTTCAGCAGAGTATTGGATTCAGTAAAGTTCTCTCAATTTGCTCCAGCTGAGGGTCTGGCCACTAAAATCTATTTCCATCTGCAAACTTCTGTTAATGAAGATTCACGCACAGATGTATGGCTGTCAGGTTTTTACAAGTTCTGCTGTTGAATGCACAGCTACAGTATAAATATTCCAAATACAAAAGGTCAGATTTAGTTTGTAAATTATCTGGATTTCTGTTTTGATTTAAAATAGTTTGACATTTTAAACAGTGGCTCTTTCATACCCTGTCTTATTGGTTTGTATAGATTGTCTCTTTTAAATGCCAGCTATTGACATTTAACACAAAGAGAAATCTGACCTCAGTCAGCTCAGCCCCCGACTGCGAGCCCCATAGTCTACTCCTTAGTGCCAATTTACCACTTGCATAGTTTAATTTCAAGACTAAATTGCCGGCAGTAACTCCAATTTATATGACTATCTGCTAATTGCAGTGGATACTACTGTAATTCACCCCATAGGTACTAACATGTTTGGAGATTTTGTAAAGTATACAATTAGAACCTGAGCAGGGCTAAAGCATGGCTTTCCTGAGCAGGGCTAGATGGTGACAAATTGCTTCCTGGCTCCATGTCACCTCCCCTGAAGTCACCTGGGCTGTGCCTGCTGTCCCAGCCCAAGAACAAGGATGGGGAACGTGCAAGTCCTGATGCCTGCTCCTCGTCCTCACGTGCTCCCACTGTGCTGGGCTGAAGTCGGGGGAAGATGCTGAACATCTTTATCCATTACTTACAGAGACACAATGCAGGGAGGGGAGGGCATAAGCAGGTCTGGCTTGATTTCAGTGGGGCTCTTCTGTTTATGGTTTGCATGTGAGAGCATCTCCAGTGAGGATGGCAAAGCCCAGCCAGAGCTCAGTGATGTCTCAGATGTTCCTCATGATTATAATGGGCTTTGAGCAGGCACACCTGGCTTGAAAATAGGAAATAGAAAAGCAGTTGGGGCAGAAAAACAATGACTATAGCCTAGTTAGTGCACACCTATCAGAGCAGGCTGTAGGCTCCTATTAAAGCAGCAAAACCAAATAATGAACTGTGTTAACCAAAAGGTTAAAAATGATGAGTGTGCTTCTGGTCTTGTCTAGAGTGAACTGCTCTCCCATTTCAGATATATAAAATGTGCTTTCAATAAGGACAAGAATAGGATTCAAACTTAGAATTATACATTTCAGATTTATCTCCATGCCACCATGAGTGAAATGAAAAGCATGAGTAGCCTTGTCAAGTATGAATATATTGAGATTTTTCACTTTTAATTAAAGCATTCCCTCTGCGTGCATGAAGAGCTGCTCTTCTTAGAAGCATGAAACTTGCATCTGTGTTTGAAACACTGTCACTGGATTAACTGTAAAAATAGCACTGGAATATAGTATAAATGTCTTTCTGAAAATTCTCTATTGCAAATTACAATTTTGTTTTCAAACTGAAATTAGAAGTGCTTTACTTGGTCAGTTGACTAGTCCTGAAGAGCTTTTATCTAACTTCAGCCCCTAAGCCTTGGCTTCCAGCAGGTCTGCTGCTGTGCACAACGTTCCTGCTGGGAGACAGGGTGGATGTACTCACCTCCATCCCCATAAAAGCTATTCATTTTAGAGATGTTACAAAATAAACTCAGTATAATAGAAAAGTTGTGAAAAAAAGAAATAGATGCAATTTTACAGAATTCCACTTCATAGCACAGTCTAAGCTGGTGAGGTACAAGTGTTGACATGCAGAAACCACAGCAAGTAAAAACTGTTTTCTGTTGCCACATGTATCTTGAAAAAAAAAAAAGGTCCAATTCCAGCAGCATAGATGTGAAATAACATGGATTGTTCCAACGTGGCTGTCACTGGAAACTCAAGCTTTCTCAGTGTGTACAGTTTTGCATCAATCTGACTGTTCGGTTAACAAAGGATCACATCCTGTTCTCAGCTATACTAAACTGCTCTTTTCCTACTTTTTTTTTTTTTTGCCCCCTCCAGTTTAGAGCTTTGATCACTTCTAATTCCTGAAATAATTAGAGTTTAATGCTTTCTAACACAAAGGTTTTGGTCACTTTGGAAGATCTTCAGGTCATTTCTCATAATGAAGAAGAGAACACATACCATAAATACTGGGTCCTGGATAGAGTCCTTTAAAGACACCTTTATCTCATGAATACAAATGAATGTGCTATTAACTTATTCTTTGAATTAGTTTTTTCTTCTGATGGGCAAGGGTGTTGATTCTATTTTTATTTATCTGGGGGAAGGAGGAGTGGTTTTGCAGGGACTTTACAGTGATTTCAGCCCCAGTGCAACACAGCACCAACTAAAATTAAAGCAGCAGCTCAGAAGCCTGAAATCAAACACATGGTTACATTTGTTGACAGCATAACATATTCTCCAGAGTCCTAATTATTTACTGGCATTTGTATGAGGCAGTTGAAAATATTACCTTTACATTGCTAATTTCAGACAACAAGCAGCATCTTCGTTTCATAGTATTTTTGTCTGGTGCATAAGGGAGGCTGTTGCCATTAATTTTACTGGTGTATTTCCAAGATGCTTTTTTTTTAAGCCAAATATGTATTCAGTCCTCTATTGATCAGAAATATTTTTTTTTAAATATTAAAAAAGAAGCTCTTCAAAAGAGCTGTGGTAACACTCAGTAATTTCCAAGGAGAATTTTAGCTTCAGACTTACCTGAAAGCCACAAAAAATAGTTTAAAAAAAAGCTGGTAGAAACAGTACATAAACACATTTGCCATACTTTGTGAAAATTCAGATACCTCAACATGTACTCCCTGCAGTATCTTAGAATATGAGTGTAAGAGTCCTCCAGAAAATATATTCCTTTGTGCCACTTCTCTGATGAAGGACTGGGCTTTCCAAGGGACAGAAGAGATCTTGGACTGTGGTTTAAAATAATACCAATCTTCCATTGAGAAATAGCCAAAGTCTTTCAATAACTTGTCATTTTAAAGGTGCTTCTTAACTACTTTATCACATTGTTATTTAAAATGAACACTACAGGTATCAGCTTGATAAAATACACATTTGTACTGGTTCTGGTATCACCAGCCTAGTAATTGGGAAGACTTTCAACAACATACGCTGCAGAGCAGTGCTGAAATACTGGCACACTGCAAAGTTGTTTTAAACTTTATGGCAGAACTTAATATATTCTTGCTGGTAAGAAGTTCACTCATGCCTCAGAATTACTCCTTGACTTAACTTGGCTTTGCGGCACTTGGCACCATTTTATATACCATGAAGGACTCGCATTTAAATGTGAATATTGATTTTGTACTGCCACTCAGTGCTCTTTTGTGGAAAGTGCATAGTACTCCTGCTATTAATCTCCTTTAATTAAATATTCAAACTGCCTAAGAAATTCCTCTGCTACCTAATAAAAATTTATGAATAAAATGAATATTAAAGTAGTAATCCCCAAGAAATCTGATAGCACTGCAATTAGCAGTCAATTTGTTAGAGCATTAACCAACCACGAGTCCCCCTCATGATGTTGGCTTTTTATAATAGCCACTAACCACTCATCAACAAAATGGTGATGGGGAAGCTTGGGAAAGAACAAAATTGGAAGAGATTAGTGGAACCCTGTGACAGTCTTTAAAAGATCTGGTGTTTGTTCCTCTTTCGCTAATCTGATTTTCTAGGGGATTGCACAATACAAACCTGCAGAATGCTATACATTTGTTTTTTTTGTCTCTGTTTTCTCCCCTCCCCTTAGGAATTGTACATAAAGGAAATGGTGAAAACATGTTCATTTCCCAGCAGCCGCCAGTCATCTCGACCGTGATGGGCAATGGGCACCAGAGAAGCGTCTCTTGCTCCAACTGCAATGGTCTTGCGCTCAACAGCAAACTCTTTGCCCCTGTTGCTCTTGCTTCTGGGCCTGATGGTAGCGTGTATATTGGTGACTTCAATTTTGTGAGGCGGATCTTTCCCTCTGGAAACTCAATTGGCATATTAGAATTAAGGTAAAAAAAATAATTAGCTTTTTCTGACTAGTGTTTGTTATCATGGCTGTGATATGCCTATAAAAAACTACGGTGAGCATTCTTTCACCTTTAGAACAGATTTTGCATAATGAATTTCTACAAATGTTTGTTATCATGGCTGTGATATGCCTATAAAAAACTACAGTGAGCATTCTTTCACTTGTAATTTAAAGAAGTAGCCAGGTTTAGTTGCCTTGTGAGCATGTGTCTCATCAACTGTCGAACTCATCAAAAGACTTACACTTACTTTGAAGTCATCATTTAAAAAGGGCACCTTAAGTGGCCTTTAGAACAGATTTTGCATAATGAATTTCTACAAAGTGCAGAATTAATAAGAGCTAATTTTTCTTCCCCTGAGATTTTTCATAAGTTTTATCAAAAAAGTTAAAATATTCCATGAAGTGGACTTTTGACAAAAACTCCATGATCCCATAGCAAATATGTGCAGTATCATGTCAGGTCACAGCACTATGGCTGCAGATAGACTTACTGCATTTAAAGTTAATACAATTAAATTCCTGTGACAGAGGACATGACTTGAGTTTAAGCAGACAAGAACAAGCCTGGCATTGCAGACTGTCTTGAGCTGGGTCTTTGCCCCTGTTAACGACTCCCTTTAATTATGACTCCAGCTTCCCATTCCCTTTCAGGGCCAGAGGGGAGGGCAGGAAAGATTTTGGGCACCAATAAACTAAATTTTTTACTTGACCCCCATGAATCTCCAACTAGCTGGCATTGCTGGTGATGGTGGGTGCTGACTGTTCCGAATTAACTTGGTGATGTGCAGGCAGTGGAAAGGAGGCAGTTTGAGAGAAAGCAGCAATACTGAGTAATGGGATAAACTGTTTTGTTGTTGATACAGCTCTGAGCAGTCACACAAAGAATACAGTTTTGTTGAGGACTAACATTTGTCTTTTTCTTTTTTTTTAAAACTGAACTTACCTGTCTTACTAGGAATAGAGACACAAGACACAGGTAAGTAGAATACAGTAATGTGTGAACCACCTTTGAGGAATCAGACTTACAAAAGTCCTTCTAGAAATCTGGATTCAAAGAAACACTCTGAATTGAATGAATATAAATGTTAATGAAAATCACCATTGTTTACAAGTAAATGTTTGATTTGTTCCCTTTGAAGGGCTGAAGTCCCCCTGTAAAATCAGCAAACAGAGATGGAGAAGTTTAAACCCAAAAGCAGGAAACGCATTTCATAGCTGTCATATTCATTTCATGTGATGTGTGAATGATCATAGATACAGCCAGCCAAGGAAACTGGAGTTGTAGCAACAAAAAAAATTATTAAAAAGGCTTCAGAGCCACCCAAGAGGACTGTGCTTTAGCAGCTCTAGGATGCTGTGAACTCTAAGCTCTGCCACAGTTCCAGAGGGTGCACAACAGACCCCAGACCCGAGGACTGTGTCACAGCTCCGTCCTTGCTTCTGCAGCTCAAGCAAAAGCAAGTGGCTTCCCCCTGTTTCCAGTTCACATTTTGGCATTGCAATGCAGGGGTTTCTTGAAAAGAAAAATTGTTTCCATTTGCTTTCATGCTAAACTGACCAGTATCTGTGTAAAATAACCAAGAGCAGCAAATTGAACTTACTCTTTAATGCATTCAGAACATGAATCAGGTTTTACATTCAGGGCTGTCTTTTGTAGAGTAGAATTTTTTTTAATTCCTGCTCACTAGTACTAGTTTCTTGAGATGAGCTTAAACTTTAATTAAATCAAGTTGTAACAAGTACCCCGGCCCTATTAATTACAATAATAATTACCTCTGTCAGTATTCTGTCCAAGTGAAATCATGGGAAATGGGAGGACATCACTTGAAGTTAATGTAGTCTTTGGGCTTTCCTTGAGCTGGGTTTCCCATCTGTTCCTCAGCTGTGGGAATATCTCTTTCCTTACATTTCCCCCTTCTTTCATTTGCACACATTTGTGACGAAGGTCAACTTTAAGCTAGTCTAGCTTGTGGCCCAGTCCTCAGAGATGCCAAGTAGTTTCTGTCCCTTTTTGGATGGAGAACGAGAACTGAGAGCACTAAGTCCAAGCTCTGTCACATTTATCATGGTACAGCATTAGCCTTATCACAGATAAATGGAAATAAGATTTCAGCTGATCATCTGTTAGAATTTTCTTAGCAATATAGAGAGTACTCAGTAGATTGCTAAAATAAAATGTAGAAGTAATTTTTACATTGTTTTGCAACATTGCTCAGTAAGATGGAACTGTCTAATAGATGATTAATAAAGCTTAGTATCTGCCTCAGCCAAGCAAAAGCTTCATAATTAAAGAGGTTCCATCAACCTGAAACCGATCAGTAAAATAAGTCAGTATCATCTCAGCCATGACATATCTGTCCTGGAGCTTCTGCCAGTTCTATTTTATCTAGATTCTTCTTTTCCTGGTTTGTTGTGGCGTGAAAATCCAGCCCCGCAGAAGGAGCTGTACGCCGGGTGTTGTCAAACCCACCACAAACAGAACTGACACAGCTCAGAGGAGTAACTCATCTTCTAATTCTGTTGCAGCAATCTTGAGTGTCAGTTAATTGTACCGATGTTAATAGAATAGAATCATTAAGGTTGGAAAAGACCTCAAGGATCATCAAGTCCAACCATCAACCCAACACCACCTAACTCACTAAATCATGTCCCTAAGCACCACATCTACACGTTTCTTGAACCCCTCCAGGGATGGTGACTCCACCACTCCCCTGGGCAGCCTGTTCCAATGCCTGATCACTCTTTCAGTAAAGAAATTTTATCTTTAACAAAAAAAAATTTACTCTTTTTTTAATCTGCAGAGCCTATAGGAAGGTCCCATCTAGAGTTACATAGAATGCAGGCAGGTGAGCATCTGGCACAGCTGCCTGTCAGAAACCAATTCCTTCCCTAGAGAAACACAGCAGTGATAAAAATACTGCCTGAGCACCTCAACACTCTGCCAGGCATTGGCCACCACTCTGCCTGTGCCCATCTTCCACCATATCAGTAACCAACTGTGTGATTTAAAGGATCTACACCTTTCTGGATTTTTATTTTATTTTCTAATCAGGCCTAAACCACAGTCTCCCCAGGCTCAGGACACTAGCTAGCATGGTGTGCCATGTGCTTAGACAGTTTCCTCAAACTGGAAATTAACTTTTCATTGAAAAAGAAACAAAAAAAAAAACTTACTGGTTAATAAGACACAGCCCAGTCATCTGATTAGACTTTATGATCCTCACCATTTAATTAACATATGTAAATATTTTTAAATAACATTTTATAATCTCAATAACACACTTCAGTGCGTGAATTATGGTGCATTAATTCATGCCTAGTTGCACTGATAGTACTTGGCCTTCTGCCTTGCTCCTGACAATACAGTCGGTGTGAATTAAGGCACCATATTTCACACCTTCATATTTCCTAAGGTTTAGAAACAGATAAAAATAACCAAGAGCAGGTACTTGTGCCCATGCAGAACAGTCTGGTTCACTTTGTAGATTTGTTTTCAGTGCCAAGAGTACTAGGACTCTGCAGGTACAGAAGAATGACCTTGGTTTTGACAGTAATAATTACAAGCTGAAGTCAGTCCAGTTAGCTTTATACTGGGTGGCTTGGTACTGATGGACAGACTAACTCCACCAGTACCACTGTCATCATAAGCTCATTATCTGGTATGCAGCGGACTGGTCAGGCTCTGCAGCTTGTACTGGTTCCTTCCTTCTCAGCAATGGTGCTTGTGTGAGCCGCATTAAAGCTCCTCCCACTTACAACTGTCATCTCCAAATCACTGAGCAGATGTTTTCAGAAGTGTTATGCTATCTTGAACAGAAATTAGAAAGAGACAATTTAACTCGATGCTCTTCTCTTCTGTTTTAGTACAAGCCCTGCACATAAATATTACTTGGCTGTTGATCCAGTGTCAGAATCCCTTTACTTGTCGGATACCAACACAAGGAAAGTCTACAAAGCAAAATCTCTCATTGAAACAAAGGATCTGGCTAAAAACGCAGACGTGGTGGCAGGAACAGGGGATCAGTGCCTTCCCTTTGACCAGAGTCACTGTGGAGATGGCGGGAAGGCCTCCGAGGCCTCTCTCAACAGCCCAAGAGGTAAGAAAAGAGCATCTCTGAAGGTGTTGGTTGCCCATCATTTCCTTCTGTTATTTAGAAACTCAGATGCAACTGGATGTACAAAAATGGGTCTGAGGCGATGATTTAACCAAATATAAGCAAGCAAAATCATTTCATAAAGCTCACATTTTTAACACAACCAGTCCTTTTATGCGGGAGAAGCATGAGCAGCAGGCTCCAGCCAGCATCCTCTGAAATACTCTTTCCAAGTGTGGCAACACTCCTCTTTTGTTACCTTTCAATTGAAAGGTGGAAGCATTTCATTATATTTAACTTTTAACCAAATACTATGGTTGCAAAGTCAATTTTTATATTTAATGCATTCAGGGGACTCTTGTAATGTTAATGGAGCTTACTCAGACATTGAAGTTAAGGCTGTTCAAATCAGGCAGACAGCAAACTCAACTTTGCCTGTGGAATTCTAGTTTGTCCTTCCTCATTAAGTGCACTTTGCAAAATACGAGCATCTCACCTACTGCACATGAAGCATTTTGTATTGTCACAGGCAAAACGCGCGTGAAGCCTTGAATCCCCACCAGCACCACCATTAATCCCTTTGCAGGGTGCATGAGTACTGTGATCAAGGCTCTGGATTAGGTGCTCTACAGCAGCTGATCACCCCCACCTCCCACTGAAACCCCTGGAACAAAGGGAACTCAGCAGCTCCCATGGCAGAGCCCCGGTGGGCTTTCAGCTGCCCCCCCATAGCACACTGCTCCCTCCTCATGACTAGCTCTAAGGAAGGGCTTAGATTATTTTTCATGAGCTAATAAGGGAAGGATATATATCAGTAGGAAATTAGAATGGATATCCAGGTGGAAACGTCTCTAAGACAAATAATCCTGTTTTAAGTCTTAGCAAGACACACATTGTAATTATAGAGTAACTTTAACATGTCTTTAACGATAGAAGGTGTAAGTACAAATAAATGTTAATCTTTAGGCAACTAATTAATGTAATGAATCCATTCTAAAAATAGTAGAAAACAAAGGTTTTCAGATACTTTAGCGTCAAAACGATCGATGTTTTATTGCTGATTACAATTTATTATATCTAATTATAATACAATTAGTTCTTCCATGTTATTTCTTATTGGGAAGTATGTTGATGAAAATTTATAATATGCTATTACTTTAAATACCCACGCATAGCTGGCTTCCTTAACAGAAGTTTCTCATCATAAAGAAATTAAGAGAAATAAGTACAATTCATGAGTTCTGGAGCAGACAGCAAATATTAAAAAAAAAATTAACTGGTAGCAGACAGTGACTCCTATCTTGGCAAATTCAAGTAATGGCTCCCGGCTGCTTTTGATTTATGCGTCTACTCTAAATTACATCAGTTTGAAATTGGCAGATTTGTTATGTTTTAGATTTTAATCTCAAGGAGCTATGGGCTGCCACATGCCATTTTTGTACATGGCCAAGCAAAATGCAGCAGCAACTTGGAGTCACAATTAGCTGTGTATTATCATTTGGCCTTTTAAGTGTGTGTCCTTGTTTTCCTTTAAACTCTAAGAGGTTGAAAAACCTTAGAAAGTAGCAGGAAGTACTTGCCTGGTACCCATAGATCTGTTGTTTATTAAGAAACCTCTCACGTACTTACATACAGTTTTAGACATCCTTTTGGATCACTTAGTTTGCTTGTTATTGGAATAATTGTTAAGTCAGAAGATGTCACATTTCTACTGAAATAGCATTCAAACAGTATATGCAAAAATATTTTTTTTTAGGCAGCAGGAAACTAACACAAATTTTGGTGAGTCCACAGACTCACCAACATCTTATCCATGTTTAAAAATACTTGAACAACAACAAAGCAACACAATGTTATTGAGTATTTGACCACAGATATTTAAAAATTGCTTCTAATTTCTCACCTCAGATTTTTACACTGCAAAAATAGGTACCTGATAATGCAGATAAAGAGTAATTGCCAAGAGATTATTAAAAATAATACTTTGCATTAATCAATGACCAGACAAGATTAGTATTTGTTTTTTAAGCTGATATAGAAAAACTTCTAGCTTTTTTTTTCCATTTGCTCTTATTTTTGTCCTGAGTATTCCTTTTTTTCCTGTTATGCAGGAAAATAAATTTACCTCTTACTTGGTAGAAAGGTAGTATCTGAGAAAGAACTCCATTTAGTAGCCATCTACCCTTGGTTAGTTACAGCTCAGGAGCTGTATTCTCATTTTTGATACCAGCTGCTTGTGACTCTGAATAACGGTTTATCTATAAAACTGAGTTTATCCGTTTGCAAAATTGATAAAAAATACCTCCTGTGTAACACTTGTGAAACTTAACCCTGTTTGGTTACATCCTCAGAAGTATGTAAATAAGTGGAAATTCAAATACTCTTACTTTTCTGAGTCAAAGTTGCTTCAAATACTCAACTTTTTTTGAACTCAATGATTTTTCTGCTCCAGTGGACATGCAGATAGGTTTTGGAAGAGTCCTAGATTATTATTCAATAACTTGAGGCTTTCATCAACTTTTATTTCTCATTATCTTTGTTTGGCAAGACTGCCTTTGCCTAGTGACCAGGAATTAAGTGTCAGATGGAAAAACATCATGAAATCACACTAATCAGTTATGATTGGGGTCTGTCTTCCACACCTTTTATTTTGCAGGTAACAAACACGTGTAGCTTTGTTCACTCTATTCCCACTTCTCTGTGAAGGACTAGAAATGGGGCTTGGTGAACATTAATCTTACACTATTGTGTGTTGAGTTGACTTTGAAAGATGCTTTTAAACATGCATGGGTGATGTAGTTGAAATTTGAGCTTCAATATTTTATTTTTACTGCAACTTTCTTTAATTCTGCAGAGATCTCAGCCTAATGAGTCATGTAATAGATGACCAAGTACTTAAGCAGAATGTGAAATGATACAAGATAGGGACATAAAATAAGATCTGTGAGAAGCTGAACACATTTATTACACAAGAAGATATTGAAAATGAAGAAGTAACTACACAGGTTATTAATCATTGACTGAATTCCAATCACTTGAACTTTACCTAGTGACAGATTTTAATTTTGGGGTGGGGAATTCTGTTTGGTGGGTTTGGGGATTTTTTGATAAGAAGTATTTATGGCACATCTAGTCACCAACACCATCATTTAAACAATCTGGATCAGTATTTATAATAAGGCACTAAGGGATAGTGTCCTCTTTTTAACTAGATTAGTCATTGAGTATTGGCACAGTAAGAAGCCCTCAAATTAATAAATACCTGGGAGTTGTTCTACTTAGCACTGCAAAGCCAATGCCTTGATCGAAGGCATTAAACACTTACCCACCCTGCCCTTCTGAAATCGGTGGGCTTTAGACATGTAAATTAAGCTTGGAAAGTCAAATCTATTGACAGAGACAGGGAGAGGCTGAGACAATCCAGTTACCACATTTTTGCTGAGCTAGTGTCTCTCAGTCAGTGTACTAAAAGGTGTCTTGGGTTAACATCTGCTTCCAATTGCCTTCTCTTTGTGACCACCTCAGGGCATTCACACAGGACAGCTGTGGTGGAAGCACAAAGTTAACCTGTGAAAACTGAGTTCCTCCGATGACTGAGCCCTAAGCGTCAGCAGTGATTTACATTTGGAAGCCCAAGCACTAAATCCAAAGATTTAATCATCTCAGGTCCTGCAGTGTCTGCTTTTTGACTCCAGGGTCCAGACCAGGCTCTAGAACGACAAGATAGATGCCCACACTGTCTGTGCAAGCTGTGTGTACAGTCAGTGCCTCAAGAAATTAAAAACTGCACACTGGGTACAGAGGCAGCACAGCAACCTCACTACAGATGCAGTGACCTCAAAGGAAGCACCAGGGAAATCTGTAAGGCTGGAGTAAGTTCTAAATCCCATGCATAAAAACAATTTATACACAGCTTTAGCAAAGAACCTTTTTCACTCAGACCCATGGCCACGAACTAGCAACACAAATGAAAGCTTGAATTAAAAATCAGTTCTGCAGTGGAGTTTTATTCATTTTGCTTGAAATTACTTTACTAAGGAAATACTACTTAAAAAAAAAAATTGTTTTGAAAATGCATTCACCCCAGCAGCTTCCATCCTGAAATAATCAGTCTTGTTGCTCACCATCTGCAGCAATACTTTCTAAAGTAAATAAAGCTGTAACAACAACTGCTCAGATTAAACCTTTACATTTGTCAAGTGACAATAACCCATTTCAGGCCTGCTCCTGCTCAGCTAAAAGATTCCTGTTACATTCAGTAGGATGCAGACCAAATTCCCAATATAGCCTTTTGTGAAAGCAAGACCCCCTTGTCGTAGGTAATGATCAATACTATTTATTCAGCAATGTTCGCTATTCTATATGTTCCTATACATTCCATTCTCAACACTTACATACAATTCAGAAAGGAAAGCAGGATGGGGTGAGATGTTTCATTAGCAATATATAAAGTAAGAAGTAGACAAACCAAGGTGATTTGCAGCCTCAAATCATTGTCATGTATGTATCACAGAACAAGCAAAAAAAATTACCTCTGCCATTTTTGATTCAGCAAAATTTATTCCTTTTCTCTTCGGTAGTCTTAGCTCCCTATGATTGCAGAAGTCTGGGAATTGTAGAACATTTAAGGTAAACTTTTTTGGACAGCAAGTTTCCCTAAATTTCATCCAACCTTCATCTGAATGCATAAGTTATTCACTTTTCTGCTAACTGTTATCAGTAGTCAGTATGACCCCAGCCATCATGTCTCAGACTGGAAGCAGGACATTTTCATTCACAGTCAGTAGTTAAAAATGTTGTTTGCTCCAACCCTACTGTTACGCATCTGAAGAGAACACCACTCAAGTGCAAGTCGTGTTCCAGCTGACAAAGAACTGCTGAATACTCTGCTGCTAGTACTGAGACAGTAATGAAGTAAAGATGACAAAGATCACAAAGCAACAGACTGCAAGTCACTTGAATCATATTTGGAGTGGTGTATTATGGTTACCTATAAATAACTA